GTGTGTGTGTGTGTGTGTGTGTGTGTGTGTGTGTGTGACTTATATGGCAGTATATAAACTTAGCACAAAAAGTACGGAAATTAGTGTTTGGTAGAATATTTGTTGTAACAGTGCTTCTTAGCATTAAATCTTTAAGTCATAAGTCTTTAAGTCTTTAAAGTCATTTGAAGGTTTAATTGTCTAATTCTTAATTATGATTTCAACAGCATGTTACGTAGCCTGACTTTCCTCTGTACCATCCACTCGTACTCAGTTAGCTCTGTGAGAACCAAGCATAAATCTCTGGAAACTGAGACTCTGAAGAGCTGCTTATGAGGAAAATAGCTCACAATGCAGCCTAGAGGCTAACAGAGCAGGCTGCTTCTTGAAACATGCGCAATGTTTGATGTGATCATCAACTCAAACCAGTGTTTTCTTCAGCTGTATCAGGCTTTAAAACACCTGTGTTTCCATCATGACACATCTGATAAAAACTGACATCTGGACACAGTTCTATTAGGGTTTCTTCAAAAACAGTGTCCTAAAGCCAGGAGAAGAAAAGAGCTTATAGAGAGTGATTTATTAAAGTAAACTTCCTATTTACTCAGTCTCAAGTGTGGAAATAAAGATTATCTTGTAAAACATTTAAAGGACGTAACAATCCTGTTTCATCTAATGAAACAAGTAAATGTTTCCACAGGTTCTCAATCCCAAAAAGAAAGGAAAGAAGAAAAAGAAGTACCTAAACTCAGGAACGGTAAGTTGTAACTATGTTATTATTCATAAAACACTTCTAATGTGGATATTTAGGTTGATGACATACTAAAAAAATGCATTAATTCTTATACCAAAAGGAAACAATGGAGAAAAAATAACTTTTGTAATTTCTATGAGGAAAAAAGTTATAAACTGATGGTTGAATAAAACTTCACTGATTAGCCTATTGTCTTGTGTCTCGGCCTTCAGAGATGCACCATATTATAAGTTTATTTAGTTTCCTGTAAGAGCCTCTGTTTGACGTTTTAATGTAACTGGGCCTCTTATTTAAAGAACATCTCCACTTTCTCTGTCTCTTTGAATTTCAGACACTTAACTTTTCAAGCTTTCCTAAATGAACAACGCCCAATTTCAAATGTCCGAAAACTTCATTAAATCTGCCTGTCTGTCTGTGAGGGTAACAAGAAATAAATGACAGTTTAAAAGAAGAGATGAAAACCTAATGGCTTGTTTGGAACACGTCCCACTATGAGTTGGCAGGCTACACGATTCACCTTTTTTAAACAATCATCTGACCAGTTATCCCAGACAGTAAATGCAGCAGTGCTGCAGCAGCAGTGAACTGTGGGGGGAAAAGGTTCAATTTCCCAAAGGATAAATAAAATATCCACTCATTTGTTCATTTATTTAAAAAGTACAATAAAGGTCTAAAGCAAAGGGAAAAAACATTACTTATGTCTCTCAGGGCTCTAGACTAACTTTTTGCACTGGTTGCACCGGTGCGCCTAACATTTTTTCTTAGGTGCACCAGAACAAAAGTTAGGTGCACCCAAATTTTCAACCACGTCGCATTTAACATCAGAGTTTTACAGTTTATTTTTTTAATCAATGTTCATTAAGGCAACATTAACTCGAAAAAAATTTGTTAACAATCTAGTAAACATAAAGTTCTTTATTTGAACCAGAATTCTACAAGATCTATAACTTACTGAAAAGTATTTAAAGTGATTCTATAAAATCCGTCCATCCATTTTCTACCGCTTATCCGGGGTCAGGTCTCGGGGGCAGCAGCCTAAGCAGAGAGCCAGCCTTCCCCCACCCCAGCCACTTGGGCCAGCTTGTCCGGGGGAATCCCAAGGTGTTCCCAGGTCAGCCGAGAAACATAGTCCCTCCAGCGTGTCCTGGGTCTTCCTCTGGGCCTCCTCCCAGTGGGACGTGTCCAGAACACCTCACCAGGGAGGTGTCCAGGAGGCATCCTAACCAGATGAACCACCTCAACTGGCTCCTCTATTTAAAGTGATTCTATAAAATTCTAAGTGCAAATGTTTAAGGGCTAAACATATTATAAACATATTAAACATTTCATGGTTACATTTTTTTAGACACAAGCCCCTCAGATGGACAACTATGGATCTTTGGCCTTGGATAAACCAGAATGATGAACAGAGAATAATGATTAATAACAGAAATATTAATATTTATTAAAAGGTTGTGCAGATTTTTTAAAAATATTAACACATAAAAGTCTGCAATTTCAGCATTAGTTTAATCATATCTTATATTATTTCACTTAAATATCTAATATATCTAGTTTTATCCTCCTGAGACCCAGAAGAACCTATTTCACATACTTGGAATGTAACTGTGGTGAAACCAATTAAATGCAAACCTGGCCTGCCATACACGTAAGCTTCCTCGTCCTGCTGAAATGATCTGCAGCGCTCAGACCCCAACTGTTAAATTAACAAGATGGACGAGCGAGCAACCGTCCACATCTTTTCATCTCCAGCTAACAAGAAAGAAATGTTTTTTGTAAAAAAAAAAAAATCAGGGTGTTTCACTATGCGTGTGCGCACGTGTGTGTGTGTGTATGTGTGTACAGATTTTTGCTTCATGGTGGGTACAATTATTGACCATTTCCCCGGTACACACAGCCTGGTGAGGTTAGGGTTTGGGTCAGGTGTGTAGCCTACCTGGGAGGTTATGGTTGGCTATAAAATTGACGGGGAAATGAATGGAAGCCAATGCAAAGTCCCCATGAGGATAGAACAATAAACGTGTGTGTGCGGGAGGTGTGGAGCGGAGCCGCGAGCAGAGCGCAGTGTTATTAGGAGAGATGAGACTGTCAGCGGGCGACCATTGATACTGCTGGATTGTTTTTAATGGAACATGATGGAAACATTTTTTTCAGAGGGCGACTGCTCCTCCTCCCCTTCTAACGACTGGTCGCACCAGTGCGACCGGAAATTTTTTTTAGTCGCACTATTAGGAAATCAGGTCGCATTTGCGACCAGATTGGTCGCACTCTAGAGCCCTGTCTCTATATTAAACTGTCAGTGAGTTTTATTGGCCTCAGCCTTACATGCCAGAGTTGTAATCTGAAATCTTATCTTGAAAAAGTATTAGCCATTTTAGTCAAATCTTGCATCAAGTAATGTGTTTGCTTTCTCATATTACAAGATCTCCTAGGATTTGTTAGTGTTTTGAGAATGTGTTGTGAAAGACATTCAGTGATTGCCACATCTACAGTATATTTACCTCAGTATCTGTAAAAATGACTTTGCTGTAGTAATTTTTGTGTTTGCTAAGGTTGGTTGGCTCTGGTGACCATCTTGAAAAGGGTCCACACCAAAAGGCAATCAGTTATAGAACAAAATCCAGTGATTTTCTGTCGGTTTCATTCAAATCCATCCAGTGGTTCATGAGATATTTTTATAAATGGCTGACATGGTTTGATCCAACAGTTAAAGTCCACGTTTTACACTGAACAAACCATGTAGCACTTGGAGTGTGTGTTGAGAGTGACACACCAGGATTTGGCAGACTGACAGATGTAAGAACCTGCTTTATGAGACTAATACCAGCTTAATCTCATAAAAGTCATGTCCCACAAGATCTTGCAGAAGGAAATCAGGAAGTCATGAAGCACCCCTCTGATCATGAATGAGAAAAGAACTTGTGGTCTTGTCAGATTTCTCAAA